CCCTACACTGGCTAGATTCAGATAGGATAATTTGGTTTGGAATGTACCCTTCAGGGGACAGTGTTGTGTCACAGCAGGTTAAGCCACACCTATGATGCCAACATCTCATATGAACACTGATTTGAGTGCCAGCTGCTCCATTTCTGATCCATCTCCCTGCTAACACACCTGAGAAGCAGTTGAGGACAGACCAAGTGCTTGGGTTCGTGCCTCCCATATGAGAGACTTGGATAGAGTTCCAGGCTCATGGCTTTGGCATGGCCCAGCCCTGGTCACTGAGGCCATTTGTGGAATGAAGCAGTGGATGGAAGATCTCTCTTCCTCTTCTGTGACTTTGCCTTTCAAATAGATAAATCTTAAAAAATAAGAATGTACCCCTCAGTAAATAACAAGGAAATATTACCTTGTATGTATTAGAAGATACAAATAGTATTTATTACTTTCAGTTTTTAAGATTTAACATTTTAGTATTACTAAACTTTAATGACAAGGGTAAAACAGACTTAAACTAACTATATATAGCCATGTCTTTTTGTACACAGTATTTAGCAGTAAATGTCTTACCAGGATGAAGCCCACAGTTTTCATGTACTAAACCTGCAGAGATGAGGCAATTAGTAGGGGTCTATTCTTAATAGTTGAAGTATGGATAATGACTGTTAAAGATGAAACTGGAACAGTGGCTGCTCATATATTGCATTCTCCTTATTAAAATATTTTGATATTACAGGTTGCATCATTTTCTGTAACAGCCTTAGTTGAAGACTAAAACCACAATCTAAGAGAACCACTACTTTCACATACACAACCAGTGTCATGCAATTTACATGTCTCCTAACCTGTACCCTATTCTTGACCATCTAATTGGCCAAAACATAAGAAAGAAAAAAAAATGCATTGCTTTCTCGTGAACTGCATTTTACTAACATAAATATTTTATAGTGTTCATGTCATGACTTTTTCACTTTGGTTATACCCAACTTACAAATTGGTTGCAAATAATTAGTTTGTAATGCCAGGCTTATCCCTGGGCCCTGCAATAGACTAAGAACTTGAGTTGAGAAGATATGTTAGTGCACTGAAATCATTTTGGATTGACAAGAATAAATCTTTATTAAAAAGCATTGCTCAGAAGGTGAGTTCCATCAATTCAGAAAAATGAGAATTTGGAGATGAGCATTACTTATATAAGAAATCCCAGTTGTACTATTGTAAAATTTAACTATTTTCAGGGTGACTAATATAGATGCATTTTCAGAAGACAAATGTAGTATTCTGGTACTTTTGCTCTTTAGCCTCATTTTAGAAAGAGATACCTCTAAAAATAGTTTGCTCTCTGAATTTTAAAGCTTCTGTTAATTATATTACTCCGATTCAGTTTGAGATAATTTCAGTTTTTTTAAAATTAAATAACAAAATCATCTCTTGAAAAACTTTTTCCATTTCAAATATCTTGTTTCTTCAGATGCTGGACAATATTTACGTACCTGCAATCTCAGAACCAAGATATTCTAGCTATAGTATTTAATTGTTTAGAGATGCATTATGATATATTTTTCACATTGGTTCATGAAAAGATAAAATTTCCCTAATACATGAAAGACCTACATTCCTCTTTATTGTTCATTGATATACTCCAATTCCCATTGTGAATAATCCCACACTTCTGGTGTTGAAAGTCACAGTCAGTCAACATTTTCTAATGTTCACTGCAGATCCCTCATCAAGATAGAGATGAACAGGAGCGCCCTTAGTTGTACTGCAATTAAGCTACCAAGAATTCCAGTTTCTTCTTTTGATTTTTAGTAGTTGCTTGGCAATGTGCTTTGGCCTTTCAATGAACCAAGAGTATTGCTGGAATCAGTTTTTGTACTTCATGACTTGGCCTGGTGATAATCCTACTAAACAATAATCTATTAAATTGTCTTAATCTGGTCAGACTGCTGTAACACTGTCCTAAGTGCCATAAACCAGGGGATTTATAGGCAATCTCTCATGTCTCTGGAGGCTAAGTCCAAGAACAAAGCACTGGCAAATCTGATTTAGTGAGGATGCACTTTCTTGTTCATAGATGGCTATCTTTCACTGCTACCTCATGTGGCAAATGGGACAGTGAACTGTTTCTGCTTTAGAAGGGCACCAATCCCATTTGTGAGGGTTCTATATTTATGACCCAACATCCTCCCAAAGGCCCCACTTCCTAGTACATTATGTTGGTGGTAAGGTTCTCAACATACGAACTTTAATTTTAGTTCTGGCCAAAATTGCAAGAAAACTTCCCATACTTGTCATGATCCAAATAATAGATAAATGTGATTCAATCCAGCCCAATTTTTGGAAATGCTAATAGTTCTTGCAATAGTTCTGCTCTTGGTCAACTTGCTTGTAACCTCCCAAATCTAGACTTTAGACTCGTTTCCATGCTCAGCATTTCTTGCATTATTTTCCTTTCCCTTACCTGTCTGTCCCTAGATTCCTTAACTTTTATTTGTCACCTTTTATGCCTCCATTTGTAGGCCTTATTTTCTTCTTAGCTCTATCAAATGTTATTAAGTGCCACAAGAAAACCCAATAAAGTCAAACTCCAAAATTTTATAACAGAAAACTCAGTCAGAGCTCCTCAGGGCAGCAAAGGGCATGGCTACAAAACCAAAGGTTTCGACTCTGTGGAAGGAAGGAAGGATTTCTCTTCCATTCAGGGATTTCCTCTCTCTCTCTCTTTGCTCTCCACCACCCATTCCCACCAAATAAAACAGGAAATAGATTTCAGGTGGAAGAATACTAAAACTTGAATTTACTTATCAAATCACAATGAATATAACAGAAGGCCCTCAATTACATTTTAAAAATTCACCAACTATTACTATGGTAATATTTGTTTGGAAACTAGAGATTATTATTTTGAATTACCTATTCACTTTGGAAAGATGAACCTCTTTTGAAATTTATCTTCAGGGTAACTGGAAATAGAACTATTTTGGCTGGTGATGATGATCTTGAGAAGTTACTTAGCCTCTCTAAATCCCAGTCTCCCTACCTGAAAAAATGAGAAAAATGTTTACCTCACAGTACATTTGTGAGAATTCTGGATACCATGTATATAAATATTTCCTAGCTCCTGGTATTAAAAACTCAATGAAGTTTTAAAAATGATGGGGGTGGTAATTAATAAATTATGCATAAAAATCTCCTCTCCTATTAATTATTTGTGTAACTATATTCACTCTTTCACTATTATAGTCAAATTATAACACACAGCTATTATTCCTCATTTCTTTAAAGTCAGTTACACTTTACTTTTTTCTTTATTGGTAATCATCATCTCTTGGCTTCTTCATTCTCGAGGGACCTCCAAACCAACTAATATTCACAATGATCTGAAAATGCTTCATTTATAGGCTATAAAGTGGATTATCTTAACATAAAGGGCAACACATGTGTTTCATTTATTGACTTGATAATGTACAGAATAATTAACATCAGATCTACTGACCCATTCAAAAATATTATGTACTTTGTTTCAGGTTATGCACTAGGCTTGGGGTTGGAGCAGGAAACATATAAAATCCTTGGCCTTATAGATATTACCTGGAAGTATGCCAAGAGAAACAAAATAGCAAGTGGTTTAGTCAAGACAGAAGTCTTGTTTACTCTCCTGGGAAAGGTAAATGAATTATATTATGTAGGAGTACAAATACACTGCAAAGTTTAAGAGCAACCGTAAAGATTAAATGATAAATCTCAGCACTCACATTTTCTTAATACAGTGTTATTTGCAATATTTCAGGGTGTAAAATTGGGTAAAATACAGTATTTTTCCTTACAGAGCTTCCTATTTGGAGAACAGATAGATAGTAAGTATTTACCTATTTATAAATATTTAATCGATAGAATATTTACTTTTTCATAGAACTTCTATTGGTAGAAAACACAGATAGCAGGATTTGCTCAAAAGAGTTGGTTGAAGACAAAGGATAAAGAGTAGGAAGAACCTAACACCAGACATGGTACTGAACAAGGCAGAACACTTACGATTTTAAAACCAGAGTTTGTTGTACATGAGTGGAATACACAACACTGCAAACAGTTTAAACCTCTACCTTGGGCAATAACACTTGCCTTTTTATGCAAATGCCTTACCTAGGATCTTCTTAGAGGTTCCTACCCAGCACACTTGTCACTACCCCTCTTCTTCTTAAGGATTCAAAACCTCCACTGGAAAAGCAGGGTTTTTCTTGTGTTTTACATTTTATTCACATTTTAATACGATATTCTATATGACAAATACTGCTTTTGTGTATTTATCAAGCACAGAACCAAGCCTGGTTTTTAATTACTTTTAATTCTTAGACTAGTCTTTCAAGGCAGGTATGTTTACCTTTTAACAGCTGACAAAAGAGAGGTTAATGGGCTCACCTCAGGCCACACAATCAGAGTTTATACTTTGATAGGGGTATTTCTGACTTAAAAACTCAATTGCATTCTACTTTCTTGGCTCTTAACCCAGTGGTATACATTTTAACTAGAGAACTTTTAAAAATAAAAGTTTGTTTTTAATTATAGCATATACACAGGTAAAACGAAATCAAATAATACTGTAAGACTGGTAGTGAAAAACAGCAAGTCTCTCTGCCTTTTCTCTATCCACCCTGATATCCTTTATCCAGAGCAAACCACATTTAACTCTCAGCTGATTATTTTTCCAATTTGTTTATCCTGCTTTTCATGGACTAGTCTACATTAGACCATGATTGACGCTCCCTCATTACACCCAGCTTTCATCCTGTCCCAGCCTCCTCACGTCTGTAAATCACTCGTTAAATGACTATTCCGTATTTACATAATATTGGCTAACTTTACACAGCTAGTATTAATCACAGTTGAGGTATGCTGCATACTTTTTGAACCTTTATTTTTCCTGGAGTTCAGTTCATAATTACCTGTTTTGATCTCTTATTTTGAAAAATCTGCAGGCCACTAATTTATCAGACTCTCTGAAATAAGAAAAATCTTGTTTATTTCAAATACACTGGTCAATCTAGAATTTTTTATTGTTTTTGAGGCATCCCATCAAACTCTTCATTTTTGGTCCCTTTCTGTTGACTTCAAGCCTTCTCCGTCACCGATCCTCTTTCGGATATATAGTATATATATTAGGAACTTTAGTATATATATTAGGAACTTGACAGCTGTCCCCTAAGGAACACCTCTTCTCAACAACCCACGGTGTCTGTCCAGCTCCTGTTTTATAAGCACTACAGCTAATCCAGAAACCTTCCTCCCCACTTCATATTCTCCCTTATAAACTCTAGTTTTGCATCAAGAGCTGAAAAACATTTGCATTTACTTTGTAACCATAACTTAAATATCCCTTTAAAAGAGGAAAGCCACAGAGAGCATGATGATGACGAGTCGAATATTGTTCAGGGAACAGCCAAGTGTCCAGCAGCAAGTGGATTGCTTCTTTTTCTGCTGGGGGTCCACAGGCTGCTCACAGGGGCACTTGTAAGATTCATTTTCTTAAACTCTATTTCTTCAAAATCCTGCGGACGTCTGCGTTTGGTGTGCGACGCTTTTCCCCACTGAAAATCGATGACTGTCATCTTCTCCTCCCGTGAATAAACGGATGTCTTCCACCTATCTTGAATAACTTCAGCTTCTTATTTATTCAAGTCTTGCTTACAATCCAATCCAACGTTATCCCAGTTTACTTTTCAGTTTTTTTCCTGAATGCACGCTATGCCCTTGGTCAGGTCCTTACATCCGTTCAGAGTAGGCTTTCAGGGCGCAAAGCTTCTTAGGTGAGTTCGTGGGTCTTAACGTGATAGTCTCGGTCGCCGGAACCGCGCACTTCAATAGCGGCCGGCATTCTGTCCCGCCCAAGAAGGTCGGCTAGGAGCGAAGAGCGCAGGCGCGGGCAGAGCCCAGGCACTATCGCGAGACCGCGAAGCTCCTCGCCGGGCGCTGCGCCACGCCGCAAGGCCTCCCGGGAGTCGGCCACCATGTTGGCCTCGGGGGCCGGCAAGTTAATCCAAACGTTAAATGTGTACCTGCAAGCGGATGTTGAGGATCACTGAGCCCGCGACGTAGAAGTAGGGGAAGTTCATGCGCAGCTGCCAGGCCAGTTCGAAGAAGGCGAGGAGTGTGCGCGAGAGCCCCTTGCAGAAAGCCCCGTAGGAGCTGGGTACCGCGGCTGGGCTGGAGGCCCTGACGGCCAAGGAGGACGGAGCCGCCGTCGCGGGGGCCATGGACTCGGGTCGCTGTCCGCCCAGCGCTTGGAGCCGAGGACCTCCGCAGGCTCCGCGGGGCCTCCAGCGACGGACAGCAGCGGGAGGTTGGGACGAAGCGTCCGCTGAGTTGGCCCTGCGCCTGCCGCCGCCGCGGCGTTCTGCAGGGGTGCGCCCGGGCTGGGCTGGCGCTGGCGCTCCGCCCCTTCCTGTCTTCTTGTGATATTTACCGTTAGAACTTAACCAGTGGTGGACCTGGACGGGAGTATGTTGTGTAGCACATACTAGCAGCCGTGCAGATGTTATTTCACTTTAAAATGAAAAGTCCAAATAAAATTGCGTAATTTTCCCTTGCCACGCAGCCTGTAAAGGACAAAGCCGGGTTAAAACTCTGGTTTATCTGCTGTGTGATCTGGGATGATAGCCAGGAATCTCACCCTTTTGATTTCATACCATTAACCCTGCAGTTAGGGCAAGATGATCTTACATAAGCCAGTACAGGCACAAAGTCTTTGTAACACAGTAAAAAGTTCACAATGTCAGGCCATGGAGCCCCCTTTTCCTAGTATTAGGACTATTTAAATGGCAAGGGACAGAAATTAAGAAAAAAAAATAGAAATACACTCATGTATATGCACATATACACACACACATTTTTAGAGACAGGGCTTATGTATAAAATGATATTCTCACCCTCATAAACCCGCAAAGAATTCAGATTAGGTATGGAAGCTTCAGTCATTTTTGCATAGAGAAAATATAGCTATGGCTAGACCCCAAGATTTAGGATGCTCCTGTCTATTTCTACTTCTAAAGCTTTAATACCTTTATCATAACATCATAATGGGCCTCCCATTATCACAAGCCCTTTTGGTATTTAAATGATACATATTCATTATTTTCACTAATGTTCCATTTTAATTAGCATTGTGTTTTCCATTATAGCCTCTGCATTCATGGATTATTCAAATGTGCTTTCTGTCCTTGCACTGGTAAAAACTTAAGTGTTCAAGGAAATGAAATACATGTATATATGTCAGTGTGGATAAGTACCATGAACGTAACATTGAACAAGCAAAGTCATAATAAGAAGAAAATATATTAATAGTTAAACTTACATAAAGTCCAAAAAGCTGGGACTAAAAACTAAGATAAAGACATTAGGGTCACATACTTAAGTTTTAAAATGTAGGGAAAATTCAGGAAATTAACATCAATTGTATATGCTCATTTCATAGAAACAATGGATATTGCCTACCTCAGAAGATGTGGAGAAAGATACATTAGTTCCCCCTTATCCACAAGGGTGTTTTCTAAGACCCCCAGGAGATGATTGAAGCCACAGGCAGTACTGACCCCTATTTGAGGGGACTTCAAAAAATGTTATCGAAATGGAATGAAACTTTCTTTTGATGTAAACATAATTTAAAAATCCATCGAATTGACCGGCGCTGCAGCTCACTAGGCTAATCCTCTGCCTTGCATGCCGGCACCCCGGGTTCTAGTCCCGGTCGGGGCGCTGGATTCTGTCCCGGTTGCCCCTCTTCCAGGCCAGCTCTTTGCTGTGGCCAGGGAGTGCAGTGGAGGATGGCCCAAGTGCTTGGGCCCTGCACCCCATGGGAGACCAGGAGAAGCACCTGGCTCCTGCCTTCCGATAGGCGCAGTGCGCCGGCCGCAGCACGCTGGCCGCGGCGGCCATTGGAGGGTGAACCAACAGCAAAAGGAAGACCTTTCTCTCTCTCTCTCTCACTGTCCACTCTGCCTGTCAAAAAAAAAAAAAAAAAAATCCATCAAATTGAGATATATCCAAAAAATTGTTGAAATTTGTATTATGAAAAATCCATGTGCATAGATTTCATTTTTCTACCAAAATAAGCATTTTAATTGTATTTTTCATGAACTCCTGAAGTACCTTAATAGATACTGTCTTTTTCTATATATACTTACCTATCACAAATGTAGTATAAAATAGGCACAAAAGATAAATGCTAATAAAATAAAACTATTATACCAATATACTCTGTTAAAGTTATATGAATGTACTCTGTCTCAAAATATCTTATTATACCATACTCTCCCTTCTTCTGAAGTTATGAGCTGATACACTACCTATGTGATGAGATGAAGTAAGTGAACATTGTGATATAGTATTAGGGTACTACATAAGGATTACTTGAACACAGGCACTGCAATATTGTGACTCTGGTAATCGAGAGGAGGAAAGTCTGTCAGCTGATTTTATCCTTCAGCATTATGTGATTACCAGAATTATAAATTGTAATACTAATTGAATTATTTATATTGGGACATCCCATTCATATGCTACTGATATACTAGCAAAACTGGATCTATTCTGTGGTCACTAATGACTTCACCTGGTTTAATACTTGCTTAACACATTTTCCACTTGCTTAAGGTAGTGAGTTTCTCCTAGTTCTTTGTTTGTTTGTTTCCATTTGGCTAAAGTGGAGAGCAGAGTGATTCCTATGCCTTTCCTCATGTATTTGTTGTTATTTTAACTTTTTGAAAATTATTTTATTTATTTGACAGAGTAAGAGAGAGAGAGAGAGAGGGAGAGACAGAGAGATTTTACATCTGCTGGTTCGCTTTCCAAATGGCCAGCAATGGCCAGAGCTGGGTTAGGCAGAAGTCAGGAGCCAGAAGTTTCATCTGGATCTCCCACTGGGCTAAGCACTTGGGCCATCTTCTGCTGCTTTCCCAGGAGCATCTGCGTGGAGCTGGATCAGGAGTGGAGCAGATGAGACTGGAACCAGGGCCCATGTGGGATGCTGGCATCACAGGCAGCATCTTAACCCACTGCGTCACAGCACTGTCCCCTATTTTAATACAGAATACTTTTACTGAGCTGTGAATGAGCTTATAGAGCATGCCAAAGATACATGGCTTTGCCTTTAGATGTAAAATTTTCTATATTAAAAGCCCAACTCCTCCCAGACTAACACATATTATTCAATTAAGAGCCTAACTCCTCCCGGACTAACCTATATTATTCATTTCTTATATCCCCAATCTCTTTGGCTTTTTATTTCTTTCCTTGCTAAGATACATTCAGAATTTTCAGTTCAATTCCAGTGCTTAAGGGTGTGTAAGCACCAAGGCCCATAAGAAGGACATGCAAATTGTGACAATGTTCTTTCTTTATCCAGTCTTCATACTTAGTGATATAAGCCAGTCCCAAAGGGACAAATCCCATATGTTCACCCTGATCTGTGACAACTAACAGAGTACCTAAAAGAAAATGTGTAGAAGTGAAACTGACACTATGAGAAGCAATGACTTGAACAGCCCTTGTATTGACTGTCAAGGAGCAGTTTATTATTTTATTTTTTATCATTATTATTTTTTCTACTTAATACCATTGGTTGAACTCTTTACTTAATATAGAATTAATGATAGGTGTATAAATTCATTTGAAAACAGATCCCAGTAAAAAATAAGAGTGGGATTAAGAGAGGGAGGAGCTGTACAGTTTGGCACACATTCCCATGGACTTACCCCTAAAGGTATAGTAAAAACTGCCGTGGGACTCCAAATCCCATTAAGCTGGGTGTTAATAATGCCATCTTACATGTTAAAGTGATCATATTAAGTGCATAATTGATCATATAGATAGAATTAAGTGTCAAAGGCGTCACATAAATAAGACCAAGTGTCTGATAATAACAACACATAGAATTAAAAAGGAGAGAATGTTCCAACATGGGAAGCAGTCCACTCAGCAGACTCATAGAATGACAAACACCCTAAATAGCACTCAGACCTCATAATCAGCTCTTAAGGCATTCTGATCTGGCAGAAAAGTCCATGAGAGCATGTCAGGCATGGAAAGCCAAAACACTGTGGTAAATGATGTTCTACATGAAGGATCTCTGTGAGTGAGACCCCAGTGGAAAGAAGGGACCATCAAAGAAGGATGTACTTTTCTCTGAAGGGAGGAGAGGACTTCCAGTTTGCTCATGGCCCTGTCTAAATACTGAAGGAATTTGTGGAGTCTAAAGGTTCCCATAGCCTTGGCAGCTCATGTCAAGAGCCTTGGGTGATCACTGATGTCATAAATAAGAGTGTCAATTGTTTTTTTTTATTTTTATTTATTTTTATTTTTTTTTGACAGGCAGAGTGGATAGTGAGAGAGAGAGAGAGAGAGACAGAGAGAAAGGTCTTCCTTTTGCCGTTGGTTCACCCTCCAATGGCCGTTGCGGCCGGCACGCTGTGGCCAGCACACCGCGCTGATCCGTTGGAGCCAGGTACTTACCCTGGTCTCCCATGGGGTGCAGTGCCCAAGTACTTGGGCCATCCTCCACTGCACTCCCTGGCCACAGCAAAGAGCTGGCCTGGAAGAGGTGCAACCGGGACAGAATCCGGCGCCCCGACCGGGACTAGAACCCGGTGTGCCGGCGCCACAAGGCGGAGGATTAGCCTAGTGAGCCAAGCCGCCAGTCAAGAGTGTCAATTGTTAAGAACAGGAGTCACTGTGCACTTACTCCCCATGTAGGGCCTCTGTCCTTAATGAGTTTTATTATGATAATTAATTGTGAAACTTCTTTCAAACAGTGCTTTATACTTTGTGTGTGTGTGGGGGCGTGCAAATTCTTGAAATCTTAGTATAGAGTTGGTCATCTATATATAATGATAATTAAAACCAAGTCTTAATGAAGAATGTGATGGGAGAGGGAGTAGGAGTTGAGACAGGAGTGGTGGTAGGAGGATGGTTTTGGGAGGGAGAATTACTGTATGCTAAAGCTGTACCTGTGAAGTTTGTATTCATTAAATAAAAGCTTTCTAAAAAAAGAGATACCTAGACCCCCATGTTTATTGTGGCCTTATTCAATAGGAAATATTCAATCTAGATGTTTATCAACTGATTACTATATGAAGAAAATGTGGTACATGGAATATTATTCAGCCATAAAAGCACGAAATTCTGGCATTTGCAACAAAGTAGATGAAAAAAATGATTATAATAAGCAAAATAAATATAATATATATATTATAATAAGCAAAATCATTATAATAAGCAAAATAAATATCGCTTCTCATGTTTTCTCTCATATTTGGAAAGATTATTTAGTTATTACTCACCAAAGAGGTCCAACAGAAATACAAGACAAGGCAACATGACCTTGGAAAAATATCAGAATAATAATTGACTGGGGTGAAGTTGAAAGGAATAAATTTACGTGAATTATATTTTGA